GCAGAGATAGAGAGGAGGAGGGTTGGGTCTGCTGTTTTAGACAGGGTGGTAGGGAGATTTGGGGCCAGATTCTGACTCGGCCATTTGTTGGCTGTGTGATCTTGGACAGGCTCCTTAACCTCTCTGAGCCTCCATATTCTGATCTTTAAAATAGGCACGAGGTTTCCTCTTCCTCAGGGCTATTGTGAGAACTGAGTAAATAAGTCCCTATGTCAGTCCTAACCCACAGAAAACACTTCAAAAATATCTTAGCTGCTGCTCCTGCCTGATAATAAATGAAGTCACAGATGTTAAGATAATTATTATTCGCTTTGGGACCTGGAGGAGGCTTTATTACTGAGACTCATAGCTGGGTGCCAGGGGTGGTGGTGGGAGGGAGAAATGGGTGGTACTGGAAAGGCAAGAGGCTGTGAGGAACAGTGTGGCCCAAGAAAGAACCTGAGAGGCAGAAGCGGCTGCGCGACTGCCAGGTGGGGCAGGGGGAGGCACTCCCGCCACCAAAGCACTAAAGCCAGCCTTAGCCCAACGTCTCCATCTCCACACGCCAAGGCCTGAACACCTCCTGATGGCCCCAGGGAGAGGCTTCTGAGCCACCTGGTAGAGACAGGGCTGTGTGCAGAGGGTGTGGCCAATGAGGGCAACTCTGGGGATATTTCTAAAGCTCTGGACAGGGCAGAGGTCACTGCAGATGTTAGCAGCACCCTGGTCTGGGAAGCTGAGCCATCTGGTCCTGTCCAGCCTGGCCATCAACCTGCAGGGAAGCTGGAGACAGCAATCTCCCCCTCTCTGGGCCTGCATGTCCCTGTGAGCAAAATGAGAACATTGGATATTGGTCTGGGCTTTTCAAATGGGTGTTTTTTTCCCAGCAGATTCCTCAAACAAAATATTAAATGAATGCCCCACATAGAAGAGATTAAAGGAGAATCTTTTGGGGTTGGGGGGATTCCTAGAGCTTAATGCCCAACCTCCTTTCCCAAGATGGTCCCTGAAGCACGTCTGTAGGGCCCTAGGGGACCAAGAGTGCCATTTGAAATCACCAGACTTGATGTTCCGGAGGATTCCTTTCAGTTTCACACTATCCTGCCAAGGGAAGAGATGAGTGCCCTGGGGTGGGGGGCTCAGGGGTTCAGAATTTTAACAATGATAACAGGGCACGTGTATTGAGAGCGATTCTCTGCGAGGTGTTCTAAGTGCGTTCCTTGGCCTTACCCCATTCAAGCCTCACAGCAATCCCGGAGTGTGGATACAGGTAGAGATAAGTTTTGTGACATCCTGGGTCTGACAGGAGAGTTGTGGCAGAACTGGGATTGGAAAGTGAGCTCCTGGTCGGGACTGAGCGCTCCAAGTGAGACGGGCATGCAGCTCCGTCCTGACCAGGTGTCCCTGGCCTGGGGGACATGGGTCATTCTCCTCCTCCTGCAGTTGCCTGGCCTTGGTTCCGAGCCAGGCAGAGCCACAGGAAGGCAGAAGGAATGATCAGGGCTGACAGGAGGCATCAGACAACAGCAATGTGGTGGGGACCGTGGGTATTGAGGGTGGAGAGTAGAGGTCGAGGTGCTGAGTTTGAATCCTGCCACCTTCCTCTTTAGCTCTGTGACCCTCAGTAGCTGACTTAACCACCCTTCTGGGTTAGAGTGAAGATTAAGTGTGCCAAGTAAGGTGGCCCCTGCCAGGGCCGTCGCACCTTATGGCCCTGTTCTAGAACTCTACGCTGATTCCCATGGAGTCCGGGAATGACAGGGGAGCAGCCAGTGCTGAAGCCCCCGGCGGGCTCCGTCAGCTGTGCTGCTGGAGGAGCATGACCCCCCTCCCCTGTGGAGGGGCACAGGACCCACGCCCAGAAGCCGAACTCACTGCACTGGTAGCAGAGAGCCCGTCCCATTCTTCGAAATCCTCCAGCCTGTGCTCCTCCCCTGGCACCCAGGCCAGTCCAGCTTGGGTTTCGGCCCAGCTGTCTCAGCCCCAAGGGAGGATTTCTGCTGGGACCCTGGTTTCTCCTACTGCCAGCACCCACAGCAGTTTGGCAGGCTGGGGCTGCCGAGGCCTGGCTTCAGGGCATGGATGCCAGGGGCATCAGGCCAGCCTGGGGTTGAGTCCCAGCTAGGTCACTCACTTCAACCTTGGGCAAATCCCCAAAACGCTCTGAGTCTCCGGTTCCTCTTCTGCTGGTTGAGGACGGATGGAGGTGTAAATGAGACCGTTCAAGGGGAAACACTTGATAAAGCTCCTGGCACATGGGTAGCAAGGCCCCAGCAGTGGTTAGCTCAGATTATCCTCCTTAGCAAAGCCAGGAGTGGCAAGTTGCCCAAAGAGCAGCTGGGAAGTTAGAAAGGACTTGCTGCTAACTTCAAACACATCAAGCACGCCTACCTCAGGGCCTTTGCACACGCTATTTCTGCTGCCCGGAATCCTCTTCCTCAAGATATGTACATGATTTACTCCTTTTAAGAGACCTTCCCCGAGCACCCTTTTAAAAATACTGCCAACACAGGAACGTACTCTGCCTCCCTTCCCTGCCTTATATTCCTCCCTAGCACCTCTCACCATGCGATGTACCATCTATTTCATGTGTCTGATCACTGTCTTCTGCCATGAGAATGTCAGTAACACAACAGCAGGGAAGACTGGGTTTTGTTCAGTGCTGAATTCCCTCAGAAAATACATGGAGACTGAGTGAAGATGGAGATGGTGCAGTTGTAAACGAGGCTCTAGCTAGGATAGGGGTTCTGTCCTTTAAACTCTTCCTGAGGGGCCTGGCCTTCCAGAGGACAGATGAAGAAGCATGTGGGAGGGGTGGGTTAATGTAGAACTGGAGACCAGAGGGTCCTGCTCCACAGGAAGCCACAGGGCAATGAAAATGTGGCTTTGGAATCAGACTGTCAGTTTTGACTGTTGGGGCCTCAGTTTCCTCATCTGTACAATGGGATAGTTGGGCTAAATGACTCCCAGCTCCCACACACACTTCGTCCTTGCTGGGCTGCCCCCACCCCTCCCCCTAGCTCCCATATTCTTCACCTTGGCTCTGTTCCTCGCCCCACCCCACCTCTGCCTCTCAGGAAACTGGCCGACTGTGCCCAGCTGCTGGAGGTGGATGACATGGTACGGTTGGCAGTGCCTGACTCCAAGTGTGTCTACACCTACATCCAAGAGCTGTACCGCAGCCTAGTGCAGAAGGGACTGGTGAAGACCAAGAAGAAATGAGGAGCTGACCAACCCTGTGGGCAGAGGTGGGCAGGGTGCCCAGCTGACCAGCCACAGCCCCAAGGCTTCCTTCTGCTCCAGCGACAAGACATCCGGGGCTTGGGCAAAGGCAGGTGGCTCCAGTCTTAACTGCATTAAAAGTGCTTTTGTAAAATCCTGTCTGGCCCCTCAGTGTTCCCTCCCCATCCCACCCAGGAACCTCTCACTCTGGGATAATAAACCCTGGCTGCCAGGGTTTCTCACCTGACATTTCCTCACCTGACACAATTATTTTAAAAGGATTTTTAAACTGACTTTTAGAGACAAAGGAAGAGGGGGAGAGAGAGAGAAACATCGATCAGTTGGCTGCCACCCAAAGGCCCCCTACCGGGGATTGAGCCCAAAACCTAGACATGTGCCCTGACCCAGAATTGAACTGGCAACCTTCCAAAGGTGCACTGGACAACGCCCAACCAACTGAGCCACATGGGCCAGGGCTGACACAATCTTTTCTACAAGCATGAAAGGCATCTGGGAAAGAACAATGGCCTGGGTCCCACCATAATTGGCTGTGTGACCTTGGGCTAGTGAGTTAACCTACCTGAACCTGTTCACCATCTGATTGTGGAAAAAAGGAGTTCGAACCTCATGGAGGTGTTGAGGGTTGAATGAAATAATGAAATGAACAAAAAGCCTTGCCTGGTGCCTGTCACATAAGTGTTCAGTAAGTGGTGGCCAAGAGTGAAAACAAATCTTACATTTTGAGCCATCAGTGGCACTTTTCTCAAGTCTCTTCCCTCTTTCCACACGTCTCCCAGATTAGAGAATTCCAGGGCAGGGCTGGACTAGAAGATGCTCTAAAAATCTCACCCAAACTAGGCTAGTGGGGCCTGCAGTGAATGATACCCCACACTTCTGTTTCTTAAGAGCAGATGGTTTTCCAGGAGCTCAGAACCGTCGCCCAGAAAGTTCTTCCTTCAGGTTAAGTTCATCCCTCCAACTCTGGCTGAAGTTGTGGCTTGTTTCTGTCTTTCCATTGCTAATTAGAGACGAACTGAGGAGCTGATAACAATGTCCTACGAACAATCCTGTCTGGCTTAATCAGCCACTTGGGCAATGCTGTGCTGATGAGAACAGCCCATGAAAAACACAAAAACGAAAACCAGCTGGCGCTAAGGCAGGAGGTGACCTGGCAATCCACTGAAGTGTCCTGTGCCTCCGCTGTCTCATCTATAAAATGAGGACATACCCCTGTGGATGTGTTGACGGTCCCGCTGGCCAGAATGGCCCAGTCCCTTGTGGTCCCACAATGTAACCTTGGGGTTACCTGAGGCTTGAGGCCATCAGTTCATGGGCAATAGGGTCACACCTTTTATTAGGCAGCAGCTAAACCCCCAGACTCCGCTTCTCCTGACGAAACCACTCCATCCCCTCAATGAACACCGAGTCAGACTCCACAAGTCATCTGTGACTTTAATGGCTGGAAGAACACATGGTTTCTGTGACTCCCCCTGGACTGGAGGGGCCATTCCTCCTAACCTAAGGCCTGGTCCCCAGGAAGTGACAATCTAATAGTATGCAAGTGGTTTGGAAACCATGTAGTCAGATTTCTGGGATAGAGATCAGATTCTTCACTTAGTGCAGGAGTGGGGAACCTATTTTCTGTCAAGGGCAGTTGGATACTTATAACATCATTCTCGGGCCATACAAACTATCAGCTTAAAAATTAGCCTGCTATATTTGGTCAAACATTTAATTAACTCACCCCTAACATGATGGCTGGAACTGCTTCTCTTAGGCAGGGCCAGACCAAATGATTTCGAGGGCTGGACATTCCCTACCCAACTTAGTGATTCATCAGTAGAAAAGAACAGGTTTAGCCCCTAAATCTACACGTGTAATCAACAAATCACCCAACTGCAAATCACTCCGTTCCATGTGCTCTGCCTCCTGCCCCTACGATTCTGGTTGGCTGCTGGGCTCACCTCCTGCGAGCTGGCCTGGAAGGTGACCCCTAAGATGGAGCCACCAGTGAGATCTGGCCTGTGACTCTGTGAAACTAAACTGCCTGGCTCTGGAGCACAGAAAGGGAGAGGGAAAGCACATCTGTGGCCAGGTGAACCTAGAACTGGGTCCACACCTACCACACACACAACTAACGACTAACAACCTAAGAAGGAAGAAAACAGAAAAACTGAGCAGAAAATGGGCAATCAAGAGCTCTGGTCCCAGTCCATAAAGTGTGTCTGTCCATCAGGCCGACAGGGTCTGTTGCAGAGGGACAGAACTAAAGTTAGGAGGGCCGCTGCTCTCCAAACTTAAGGGTGAACTCTTCGGCTCTCCTGTTGAACTGCTCTGGGTCCTGTGTTAGCAGGTCAGCAAGCTCCAGACGCAGGGGCTCCTCCAGGTCCAGCTTATTCACCAGCACGTTGAGGGCTTCCAAGACTGGGGAGAGAGGCCAGGTCAAAACATGAAGACAGGGAGAAATATCCTGGGAGGGGCCCGCTAGCTGCCCACTCTCAGATCCCCCTGAAACTCCATGCTCACTCCCCGGGAATACCCAAGGAAGTCCTATCTCTCAGGGGGACTCTACAACCAAATTGAATGCCCCTCACATCCCTGGCTGACGATGCCAAAGGCCTGACTGGTTCTATAAGGGGTTTTCAAACTATGTTCCACGGTGAGATACATGGGGTGTCTGGGCCCCACTCCTTTTTCAACAACAACCACTCTGTTTTCCTCTGTTTGATATTAGGATTTCCAAATAAACGTTTATTTGGGAAAAGAGATTCTGAGGCTAAAGACTAGGCACCACTACTGCCTGGTTGCTCCTGATCTTTCACAGGTGCCTTTGGGAGCCCGGAGAAGGCAGGGGCCCATCTCCCCAGGCACATCGCATGCGCACAAACATGCAGCTCTGAGGTAAGAGTGCTTCACGGACCCCTAAAGGTCATCCAAGGAGCACACCCCACCCTTGCCCCAAGATCCTTGTTGCCGGGGCTGAGAACTCCTGAGATGGTCCAGAGGCAGGATAGATCACACATTGACTTGAACCACTAGCCACGTGTGGTTAAATTTAAATTAATTAAAACGAGCTACAATTGGGAACTCAGTTCCTCAGTCGCATTGGCCACATTTCAAGTGCTCAATAGCCACACGTGGCTAGTGACTATGGAACTGGACAGTGCAGCCACACAACATTCCCATCACAGCAGAAAGTCCTGCTGGACGGCACTGCGCTAGTCAGCTAAGCCCGGCTTCGAATCCCAGCGCTGCCACTCGCCAGCTGAGTGACCTTAGGAAAGTGCTTCCCCTCTCTGGGCCTTAGTGTGCTCCATGGAGTTGCTCAGGGGATTAAATGAAGTTATATGTGAAGTTCTCTGTATTGTGCTGAACATGCTTAATTCAGTGATGTGGATTATCATTACGGGGCCAATCCCCTCAACTGTCAGTTAGGGCACTGAGCCCCGGAAAGGAGTGGAGACTTCACCAAGGCCCACAGATAGAGAGCAGCAGCCTTCTTAGCCCCAGCCCTTCCCTCTACAGCCCAGCTGCCTCTCTCCCACCACCCACAGCCACGCCGCTGTTGCACCTGCCCAGGTAAAGAACCGAGGCAGGAGCAGGTATCTCAGGACGCGGCCCTTCTATCCAATGACTGACTCTGCTAAGACCCACAATTTTTATCTCCTCTCTTTTGGGCTTTTCTGACCTAAAACCAGCCCTGTAACCCCGCTCCAGCACTGGCCCTCCCTGTGGGCCGGGCCCAGCCCACCTTGGTAGGCCTTGGTATAAGGCTTCCAGTTGTCATTGCTGATGATGGGTAGGCACACCTGGCCGCTGACGTCCACGTTAGGGTGGTAGATCTTGGTTAGGAACGTCACCGTGGGGGGGAATAACGGATACTCCTTGGGGAAGCTGATGCACAGTCTGAAGGCCCTGAGGTTGTACGGCGGCTTCTCCTGTATAAGAAAAAGGGTGAAGCTCCGTCCCGAGGCAGGGCTGCTCTGAAAAGATCGCTTTCCTCCTCGGGCCTTGGTCTGGTTTCCCCCTTCCCTGCTCCCACCCCAAGTTCCAAGCATCCTCTACTCCACTCCTAAAAAGAATCATGACGGTACCTGCATTCATTTGGCAACTGAGCCACGGGTGAGTGGAAGAGTGGAATCACAGAAGAATGCTGGCCTGGGGTCACCAGTCAGATCCTGGCTTTTGCTGTGTGACCTGGGCCAGTGCCTCCCATTCCTAGGCCTCAGTTCCCTCATTTGAAAAATGGGTCAAGTTTGACTAGATAAGCTCTAAGGACCACCTCAGCTTTCTTTTGTATTGATAATTCACTTTTTCCCCAGTTTTACGGAGAAATAATTGACACACATCACTATAAAAGTTTAAGGTATATAGCATGATGGCTCGATTTACATATACTGTGGAGTAATTACCATAACAAGGTCAGCTAACACTTAACTTCTCATATAGATATAATGAAAAGAAGAAAAAAAATGTGTTTCTCCTTGTGATGAGGACTCTTAGGATCTCATGTCTTAGCAACTTCCTTACAGATCTGCAGGAGTGTCAGCTACGGTCCTCACATTGTACATTACATCCCTAGCACGCACTTACCTTGTAACTGGAAGTTTGCATTTTTTGACCACTTTCTTTTATTTCCCCCTCCCTCCACTCTCTGCCTCTGGCAACTACAAGTCTGATCTCTTTTTCTGGAAGTTTGGGGGTTTTTTGGTTTTCACTTTTGTTTTTAGATTCCTCATGTAAGTGAGATCACAAAGTATTTATCTTCCCCCGTCTGCCTTCAAGGTCCATCCATGTTGTCGCAAATGGTCATCTCGGCTTTAAAGCCTCTGATGAGAATTACGGGAGAGGATGACATGCATCCTCGGTTTGGGAGCTGTTAGCAAATACAGAGGAACGCTGTGGTTGGGGGTGAGGAAATGGAGAAAGCAAGGAAACTGTAAGAGCTCAGGGGATTGGAGATGTAAAATAGGGCAGGCAGCCACTGTGAAAACTGTACAGTGGGTTTTTAAGAAGTTAAACTGAGTTACCATGGGATCCAACAATTCCAATTCTGGGGATATACTCAAAAGAAGTGAAAGCAGGGACTCAAACAGGTATTGGAACACCCATGGGCATAGCTGCATTACTCACTATAGTGAATGGTTGAAACCACCCCAAAATGCCCACCTACGGAGGATTGCTGAAGGAAAACATGGCCTTGCGCACAATGGGATATTACTCGGCTTTGAAAAGGAGATTCTGACACGTGCCACACCATGGAGGAACTCTGAAGACACTGCTAAGTGAGACAAGCTAGACAAAAAAAGAACACCTTTTGAATGATTCCACTTTTGTGAGATACTTAGAATAGTCAAACTCATAGACATAAATTAGAAAATTAGTTACCAGGGACTGGAGGGAAGGAAGAATGGGGAGACTACTCATGAGTACAGAGTTTTGGGAAGATGAAAAAGTTCTGGAGATGGATGGTGGTGATGGTTACACAAGAATGTGAATGTACCCAGGGCTACTGAACCGTAAACGTAACAATGACTAAGACGGGAAATACTGTCATGTATATTTTACTATGATTTAAAAGAAAGAAAAAGGAAGAAAAAGGAAGGGGAGGAAGGGGAGGAAGAAAGGAAGAAAGGAAGAAAGGAAGAAAGGAAGAAAGGAAGAAAG